AACTAATCAAAAGCCAGAAAAATGACAAAAATATTCAAAACTCCATAGTCTGCCCAGCAAATCTCATGAGACTTGGCCTGTTTTGAAGAGCAAAAACATCTCATTTTTCTAGTGCTAAGCAGACAACCCAAAAGCCAAGGCAAAAATTATTGCAAGGGTATTTTTCCCAAAATATGCAAAAGCCATCCTCCAGTCAAACCAGCAACTTCCCCGTCACTAGGTGATTGGATCAAAGAGCCCAGGAGGAGACCTACCGGCTGCACCAAAGCGCTTATTTTTTGAGCCAGTTTTGAGTGAGCTACAAGCCATTCACCCCGCCACCCAAATCAGGCAAAGCACCATGGTACCATCCACACGGCCATGGATGCACCCAAGGCTGCATGGATGGCACCATGGTCATGGGTTGTGTGACACCCATGGTACCATCCACAATTTGTGGGTAGTACCACCCCCATGGGTGATACCATGGATTTGGTACCTCTTAGGCCCAGGGTTCCGTGGGTTCGATTAAGCCTAAGAGGTACCAGGTAGGGGTAGCCTGAGGTGCCTAGTAGGGGAGGATCCAAAGTGTGAATAAAGCTACAGGAAATACACAGAGGGATGATCCAAAGAGAAGAAACTCTATGCTCCTGTTTCTTGTGGGCAAGAAACAGGAGCAATGTTCAGAGAGGTAGGAGTCGGAATCAGAGAGAGTCGGAGTCAGAGTTGGAGTTGTGAAAATTTTGAGTCGAAGGCCGGAAAGGCCGAGATCACCGAGGAAGCCGGTGAGAACATGATAATAGCAAGGAGGACGAAAAAGGAAAGGGGTGACAAGAAGCACGTCACCGATTGACATCAATCTCTATCTTTACCACTTCCCACCATGCCGCCTAAATGCCAGAACGCCAAAACGCCGAAGAAGGCCAAGAACCTATTCGAAAATGCGGTGGAGCGGGTCGAAGAGCTGTCGGAGACGGAGAGGGTGGGTGGATGGGTCGGTGGAACGGACCGAGACCCCTTGGCTGACGCGTTACCGTCGGGTCGTAACCGACGCGTAGATGTGCCGGAGGGAGCTGGAGGAACTCGAGCGCAGAGCGGAAACGCTTCGCGCGCTACTGGCGGAAACGGCACCAAGAGCACCGTCACCGGGTGGTCGGTCGGAGTCGTATGATCCCGACGACCCGGTTGACAACGAGCCAATCGTTGAGGAATTGTCGGAGCACGGGTCCGTAGTGGCGCTGCTGCAGTGGGTTCCCAACGACAAAGAAGAGCTCATCTAAAGAGCGGCCGAGTACCATAGGAGCCGAGCCGAGCGCCAGCGAGCCGCAGTGCTCAGAGGGCAAGAAGACGAGGCCGAGCCTCAAGAACAAAATTGCCGGGGCCGGGCCTTGTTGGCCAGAGATCGGGTCAGAGCCCGCCGGGAATGCGGACTCGCACCGCTGACCCTTGCCGAGACGGCCGAGGTGAATGCCCGGGTTGGCCGCCAGGTCATGCGACGCGTTGAGTCATCCGCGGAGCCCAAGCCGGCTGATGTAGCCGAAGAACCCAGAAAGGTGGAAGAAACCGAGAACGCCGAGAAGGCCCAGGCTGATGGGCCCGATGCAGACGGCGATGCAGAAGAAGAACGTGAGTGCAAGTAATATTCTCGGTTATGAACCTGACCCGTTTTGGCAGAAAAATGCGCCAAATGTATCAAGACGGGGAAAAAATGCGTGTGGAGCGACCCTAAGCCCAACACGACTTGGCACGGAAGGCTTTCTTGCGATAATTGCCGCAAGCTCAAGGCCCGTTGCGAAGACGGAAACCCACCCCTGCGTTTCCGCAAGGACGAGAAGGACAAGGAGAAGGGCAAGAAGAAGAAGGTTGCGGGGCCACGGATTGTGGTGCCCAGAGTGGTTGAGAAGAAGGTTCCTGCGAAGACGACCGCGGAGACGCCAGCGGAGACGCCAGCTGAGTCGTCAGGTCTGACGCTCAGCAACGCGGGGATTGCCGCAATGATGGCAAATCTGTTGATGCGTCAGCGCGTAGATCACCGGCAGCTCAGCCGTGTGATCATGGGACTTCAAAACCTTGGCCGCGAGTTGTGCTTCAACGTCGGCGCGATCAACTCGTCAACCACACCCGAGCAACTGGACGAGCGCCTACAGGGAATCGACAAGACCCTGAAACACTAGGATGTCTTCATCCAGCAGGAAGGCTAGAGGTGTCGGGATGCGGCAAATCGCTCTCAGTGATTCCAAAATCTTGACTAGGAAAAGTTCGCAGAGCCCGTTTCTCGCTAGAATCTATCCAATTCTATGCAAAATACCCAAAGGGAGTGTATTCCAAAAGGCATATTCGGTTTGGCGCTCAGTGGAGGCTCGAGATCGACTTCTCCTAGATAAGGGACACCCCTATCTCTGTTGGTATCAACGACTGACATCATTGGAACGTGGTTTCGGATCATGCTGGAGGATCGAGAGTGCCAAGGGACGGTTAAACGGCGAAAACCTACTCAATTGATCATCTGAGCATTGGAAATGCACCAGGAGAGTTGGGACAACCACCGCTGAGGCCATACGCACGAGATACGAGTTATGGGTGTCAATCGAAAGCTGGGAAGCAGAGCTATCCACTTATCCTACTCAAGATTGAGGGATACTTCACGAGCAAAACTAGATGGTCGTGAACACGGAAGATTTACACAGGTCATTAACTCCAATACACACGATACCAGTCATCTAGACCTAGATTTTTAACTCTAGGCCATATAGCGAAACGATACCTATACAATTATGCACATGGACGACTTTTCTTACTCGAGATTTTCCCTGATTCTATCAATTTCTGTTTAGTATTTATATCTCTGTTTTGTATTTGGCAGGTTCACGGATTGCCCCGCTTTACTAGGTGCATCTGGGGATCTAGCTCGTCAATCTATCTTGCTAGCTCTTTCGAAATAGTATCATCACGTCGGAAGGATTATTGGTTGAGGGTTTCGGTTGCTGAATACAAGAGTTCCGGTTGCTGTTTATTGGGTTTCGGTTGCTGGTCGAGAGTTTAAGGCAGTTAGTTCCTGACTCGAGACAACTCAGAGGGTTTAAGGCAGTTAGTCCTGATCCAACAAGTATAAACTCTCCGGGCATCGTATTGGCGCTTCTCTATTGCTGAGTTTCATCGATAGTACGCTTTGGGGCACAACAAATCAACGTTTTTCGCAAGAAACTCGTATCTACCCTACAACCTTACACATCTGTGCCAATGCTCTGTTCACAGGGGCCTGTGCTCGCACAAGGAGTTGACGATTTTTGGGTTTTTGTGACTTTTCCTACTTGACATTATACATCTTTCTCTCTACGAAAAGTGGAGTTTTGGTTGTTTTTGTTGGTTTGGTTAGTTAGAGAGCTCATTTGCTGTCCCCACTCTGCACTCATCAACGCCTCGGAGATGGAATCGAGAAACGACAGAATTAGAGTCGTAAATGTAAAATAGAAATTAATTTTCCTTATCTCACAAATCCGGTGTGATGTTAATCCAGTTTGGGTTTGTTGGGGTATTGACGATGGAAGGATTCGATATACTCTTCAGCTTCCAAGTCAGGTGCACCAACCCAAGTGAATTGTTCATCAGTGTTCTTGTAACCAAGCCATTCGACCAGGTAGCGGAGTCGAGCCGGACCCTTGAAACGGCGATCAATCTTGGAGTCAACGATTTGTTTGATTTCGAAGTGTTCTTCTCCATTGACTTCAATTGCCGCAGGTGGTGGCTCTTCACGACCAGGGAATTTAAATGTCTGCCCCAATTCATCATTCAAGAACATACAGTCATCAATCAGAGTATGTGGGTACCTGGATATACCTCATTGACTACACTTGACATATTTTGATCCATAATCAACAAATAGATCATGGCTGTATTGTCAATATGATGTGTAATAGCAGTCATGTGTATAAATGAGAATTACATGAGATTACATAGATAAAACATTATGAGAGGCATAATATTTCTTGGGGGTAACCATCTGTATGCTTCCTACCTTTATGTCATGGGAGACTCCTTGCCTTCAAGTGAGATATTAGGAGATTGGCATAACACACAATATGTTATATACATAGGCATACAGAATGTCTAGAAATATATATACCTCTTCAAGCTATTATAGGGATCCATCAAACTATAAAACAACTTAGATTATGATTATCCATGCATTCCTTACCCAGATATCAAGTTATCAGTGTGATTGATCAAATTTGAGATAGAAAAACTACCAAAAAGTGGTATAACAGTCTATTTCAAAGGTATGACACTAAGGTCATATCAGACTATATAAAGGCAATATTACCACCTGCCTACTAATGAAACAATCATCTGAATCCATGGAGAACTGGTGGAGATATGGCTAGATCAAAATGTCTGATAGATAATCATTAGCTACTATGGATATCCTGATAATATTTTATTGATGGGAACATTGACCCCACTATTCAAATATCCCTAGTAGTACTTCAATCAGTTCTGTGGCCTGTTTAGTTATAGAGATAGAGGGTTATCAGTTATATCTCAGCTGGTGATTGACTAGTCCAGACACCACCATTGAGCTGTCACTATAGGTTACTTAATGAAAGTTGTCCGTATAGGCAAAATATACAACTTTGGTTTTGTGACGATCTGTGACATTCTCTGATGACTGCACTGTCCAATAACAAAAATTCCTTTTTTGGAAATTTATCATATATCACTCTATATTGCAGTATACAACCATATCACATAGCCACTAAAACTACCAGCTCTACTATCTATTGACAAAAGTTCCTTTTTGGGATGTTGTGTCACATGTCACATAGTGTGACTCCGGGAGACTTGGTGAAAATGGCCTGGATTGTATTATTCACCTTTATTCACCCCTACATTCTGGACTTAGCGAAAAATTTGCCTTGGACTTCACAATTATTCACCCCCTTCACCAACAATTATTCGCCACTTGGGGAATTGCTGATAATGCTGGGGCTTATCAGTGGCAACCTGCGTCGTTGCCACTGATAATGTACAGTGTGTTGTGGGCTAAACAGGTGGTCTGGGCCGCCACGCATGCTCCCTCTGCGGCTCAGAAGACCACTCCGCTCAGCAATGCCGGACCGCATAACTTCCTGCCGGTTGTCACACCACTTGTCTGCGACGAGTGGGAGCGCGCGCTACGCACTGTCAACCTGTACAATGAATTTCACGATATTCTGACTGGCATTAACATGGACCTATCATCATCTTACACTCCCGCTAATTGTCGTACTGCACTTGAACACCCTAATGTAATTGACGAATATATCCAAACAGAGCTGGCTTCCCACCGCTATTCCGGTCCATTCAATTTGAGCCGTCTCAAAGCGATTATTGGGCCAATTCGCTCCTCCCCCTTAGGTGTTGTACCCAAAGCTGGTGAGCCAGATAAATGGCGAATGGTTCAAGACTTCTCATTTCCATACGATGACCCTGAGATTGTGTCGATTAACTCCACTATTGACTCGGATGATTTCCCTTGTGACTGGGGAACCTTTTCGCAAATGTTACTGCTGGTATTGGACGCACCACCAGGCACCCAAGCAGCAACATTGGATGTTGACGCTGCCTTCCGTCGAGTGCCTATACACCCTTCGCAACAGTGGTTCTTCGTTGTCTCTTGGAGAGACCTGTGCTATATTGACCACTGTGCTCCTTTTGGACCCTCGAGCTCCCCTGGAATATTCGGACAAATCGCTGATGCTATGCCCGCACTCCTCACTTCAAATCACATTAGCCCCCTCAAAAAATGGGTCGATGATTTCTGCTTCTTTCGATATCTACAAGACTCCGGCGACTACTGATATGACGTCGACACCATTTACCGTTTCATAGAACCACTGGGTTGGCCCTGGAAGCTTTCTAAGACATTTCCCCTTCAATTCAACCTTCAAATATGTTGGATTCCGCTGGGATTTGAATGCTAAGACTGTTGAAATACCCGACACCAAGAAAACTCGCTTCCTGACCAAACTTGAAGTTTGGGTCAGAGGCTCGAAATTCAACAGGAAGGAAGCTGAATCCGTCCATGGGACCCTAGTGCACTGTGCCATGGCTATACGAGACGGTCGTTCACGTCTGCCGGCCATCTTGGCCTTCGCCGCATCCTTCTTGCACACCTCTTCGAACTTCTCCAAACGTTCGCCAAACGCAACTGTTCTAAGCGATATCAACTGGTGGCGACAACAGCTTAACCTCCCATTCTGTGGCTCCATATTGATTCGCCCTCCCCTTGTCTCTTCGATACCCTTTTGGGTTGACACTTCCACATCATGGGGAATCGGTGTTGTCTTCGACACTGTCTGGGCATCTTGGCGTTTCCAAGCGGGCTGGGAGGCGGATGGACGTAAGATAGGATGGGTGCAAATGCTCGCCGTCGAGTTTGGCCTTCTTCTTGCTATTCGGAGAGGTCACGAGAACATCCATTTTCACATTCTGTCTGACAATCAAGGTGTTCTCGGAGCAGTCGACTCAGGAAAATCTCGAAACCCGGAACAGAACCGTGTTCTCAGGAGAATTGTCGCTCTGCTCCGAACACACACACTCTGGATTACCACCTCCTATACACCATCTGCAGACAATCTCGCCGACGGACCTTCGCGCGGTATACCATTGTCGATTCCTGGTTTTTCACGTTCCTTTGCCCCTTTCAAGATACCCTACTGTGTTTCAAACCTTATCGTAGACAGCCCTTGAGTAATTATAAATTAATCTTCAAGAACTTGAATTGAGTTGAATCATTTCTCTTCTGGATCATCACCGACATTTCACCATGACATCTTGACTCGTATCACTATGACTCCCACGACGCAACACCCAATCCCCCCCTCCTTGCGTGAAACCCACGACCTCATTCAGCTCATTCGGGCTTCGGATAGAAGGTCAGCAGCACAAGACCAATCTAGACCGGCCCACAAACGACACCCAAGGCCTCTGCAGCCACCACGCATCACCAGCAACCTCTGAGCGAAAACCCCCTGGATCTTCAGGCCCCATATTGGCCCCCCCGCTCTCCGGCCCACACCCTATCTCTCTGCCCCTTCGCGCCAGTTGGACCTTGCCTTCCAGAATGGCTGGGGTGCGAAAACTCTCACCAACTACGGCTATGCAGTCGACCGCTTTCTTCTGTTTTGCGACAACGAGTCAGTCCCGGCTCACCTCCGACTCCCCACCCATGAATTCATTCTTTCTGCCTACGCCGCGTGTCATACCGGCATCCACGCTGGATCTACCGCGCGAAAACGACATTGCGGCGCTAAAACCCTGGCATATCGCCCAGAAACAGCCCTGGCTCGGCGGCCCGAGATTGCACTACGTCCTCTCTGGCGTTGACGCACTCTCCCCCTCAGGTCACGAACTGACCACCATGTCCTCCAATTACCGCAGATATGCTCCTCCACTTGCGTTCCGGGCTCAACCTCACCTCATCCTTTGACATCGCTGTCTTCGCAGCCGCGTGCGTTGCCTTCTGGGGTCAGTGCAGATTGGGTGAACTACTACCCACTTCTCGGACGGACCCAGAGCTGAGCACCAAACCATGTCGGAACAACATTACTTGACAAAACACACAATTACTGTCCATCTCCCTCGTACCAAGACCCAGAAACACGGCGAAGACGTCATTCTCACCGCTCAGTGCAGCGAAATTGATCCAATATCAGTGCTTCGTATGCATCTATTCGCTACCCCCAACACCCCCAACACGCCTCTGTTCACATATTCGACTGGCGCTACCACCATCCCACTTACGCGATGCGCATTTCTCAATCGCTGCAACGAAGTTTGAGCACGACATGGCTATCCTAAGCTGACAGGTCATAGCTTTCGTATTGGTGGGACAACAGAACTTCTCTTGGCCGGGGTCCCAACGGAGGTGGTCAAAAAGATGGGGTGATGGTCCTCCGACGCCTTCCTTAAGTACTGGCGCTCAACTCAAGTTTTGGCTCCACTGTATGTTGCGAACCTTCACAAACAAAAGAAGTGAAGATGCCCTTCTCCTAGGCTAGCCGCGCTCACATGTTCTCGGCTGGGCATCCATTGCGGGTTCATCCTCGAACCATAGTGTTGCGCCCAGGAGCGTGGCTGAGCCCCGTTGCTTCTCACCCATAACATACCAAGTGTCTGTAGTGGTTCTTAGAAATAGACTACTTTGAAATTCCTTGTGTCAGTTCATACTTGTAAGGGCAACCCCGGAGGCCTGAGATCAAGGTCCTAGCAGGGGAGGATCCAAAGCGTGAACATTGGTAAGCGAATACAATGAAGCTGACCTAGCAGGGGAGGATCCAAAGAGAAGAAACTCTAAGGGTCCGCCTGCTAGGGAGCTGACTATATACTGCTTGTCCGTAGCTGCCGCTGTCGGGCATAGAAGGCTTGGGCAGCGTCGCAGGCGAGGTCCCAGGGCGACCGTCGGGAGGGCGTTGACGGATCGGTGATTGTGCGGGCGAGATGGAGGGCCGGACCGGAATCGGAACCGGAATCGGGCACGTCTCCGGGCCGAAAGGGAGGTTCCCCTGACAATACTGAAGGAAAGAACTAGTGAAATGCCCAAGATTGAGTTTGACAGTCTTTCTAGTAACATAGAGTTTGTACACAACTATTACACGGCCAAACTCTTAGTCTGCTGCCTTTTTTACGCTTCGCTCTCATCTATACAGCCGTCAAATTCTGTATACGGTCGATACGTACTGTATCAACCGTTGGATTTGAGCAATACGGTACGGTTAGACCCGGCCCGTCTTTGAAAACGGCCGTAAAGATATACTGCCATACCAGTATACTGTACGGTCTAGAGCCCTAAAGTTTACTGACTTGGGTTGCAATATATGTAGATAAAACATATGCATAATATAAAAGTAACCAGATATTTAAGAGGGTTATTGTGCACCTGTGTGCTATTCTGTAATTTGTGGGATTTTCTTCTATAGTTAGAAATTCACTGTTTCTAAGCAATATTCAAAGTTGTAGTATACACATACACATGTATAAAATCTTTTGCAAAAAAAAAGTTTCACAAAGATTGATTTTTATCCCACTTTTTTTTTTTTTTTGATCGCATCAGTGGTCACATGACGCTGATCGCGGGAAATATATTACTATATATGGTAGGAGGGGGAGGGGGGGTCCCCAGAGGGTTGGAAAAAAACTTTCCGACCCTATATCCACATTTCGAATCTTGAACCCCCCTTGCAACTCCGTACCCTAGTCTTTGCCGCCAGAGTCATTAGACTTCAATCTGAGAAATTATCTCTAATGCTAGATCAATACTTGAAATGTGTAGGTAGTACTTAAGCTACAATTAGCTAACTCATGAAATTGCCACTGTTCCAAGCCGCATCCTCACTACTAGTAGGGTGTGTGGCGTGTTTGCTCTATTCGCGCCGAGCTATACCTGAGCTAGAGAATCCTGAATACATTCCTTCATTACTGGCAGCTTTTGATCAACCAGCGCCTTGGTCTCGGTAAGGAAGAATGGGGCAGAGTCGGCAGCAAACTGGAAGCAGAGAGATGCAAATGCAGTTGCATCTCTCTCTTTTCGACCGCTGGACGAAGGTCAATAACCCAGCCCTGATGGATTTGCGCCTGCAGGTGCAGTAGCTGAACATTGCTGTTGAGGCGCCTCAACCAGCACCAGCGAACTTCGCACACAGCCGTCTCTCATGCGTTGGACATGGCCGCCTCCGGCGGCGCCTGCTCTGCTCTGTTCCCAGGCCCAACCCTGAGCCTGTGCTCCATGTGATCTTCCAAGCACCGACGACCGTTTGTTGTTCTGCGGCGCCTATGCCCGGGCCCGCATGAAGCGAGGTGTCATTGGCCAGGCCTAAGAACCCGCAACAATGGTAGACAAACCGAGCGGGGTTGTCGTGGCCAACGTAAAGAGCAACTGCCGTTTTTGTCGACAGAAGATGCCTTGTGACCCGCCGAACAAGACGCTCTGCACACCCCATGTGATGCCAATGGAGGTTAGTGAAGACTTTGGTTATGGTTGCCACGTGGTCAGAGTTTCGCATGAAGGCGGCGATGGACACAGCCTCCTCGTTGCAGACTGGGTCTTCCGTTCGGCGAATGGTGTGAACCCAAACTTGTTGCTGCGCAATTAGCTTTTGTGCCTCTACCAGCGCTTTGGCCTCAGTAAGGAGGAAGGGGCGGAGTCCGCAGCAAACTGGAAGCATAGTGACGCAACTGCTTTAACATCCCTGTCGACTGCTGGACGAAGCTCCATAGCCACTCCATTCAAGTTCATCGTGGGCAGCGGCGGGCCTCCGAGCAACCCTGCTCTCTGACGCGACCTCTCGACCACTGGACGAAGCTCGATGTCCAGGCATCAGGATAAAAAAGATTGCCACTCGATGACCACGCCAGGGACAATGAGTTAATGCTGTGAGGCGATCGAGTTGCGTCTGCAGGAGCTGAACCCGGCGACGATCCTGGAACGGCGATGAAGTCGTTCAGAGCCATGGAGCCCTCGGCCATTGATGGCAGAGAGGATCCTGTAGGCGCAGTCAGCAAGGGTGAGGAAGAACAGCCTGCACGGAAATATGCCGCACCAGTTGCTGGTCGAGGGGCAGACATTGTCTAATGCTCGAGGAAATACGAGCAGCTACGCTGGGTTTCGAGTTTTCCAACGAGCGGAGCAACGCAGAGCGGGAATAGCCTCAAGCATCCGCGAGAGCTATTGTCATCATTGTAGTCGTCGACGAGATAGACTTGGCTATGAAGGGGCTTCATGGTGAGTGGAGATTGGGTTTCTGGGGCATATAACGGCGTTCCTGTGCCTTTTATACCTTTCGCTATTATGTACACGCGGCCTTCGATGACCTTCGATGGCATTCTGGTGACTCCATGTTGTCAGGGGACGCGCGTCGCGAGGCAATGCTTGATGACTCCATGTGTGGGTCCGAGTCCGTCGTGAGGCTAGGCTTGGAAGAACAATGACTGTGTGTGTGTGGGTACGCGCAGACAACCACATTGTTCCCACCTGTCTTGACTTATGGTTCACAGGTAGACCTTCCTAACACATTGGTCGTGGCGTCCAGAGCAGCGAAAGACTCGCAAGCAGATATATATGGCGATGCTGGAGTCTGAGAGGGAGTACCCACAGTGTCTGCGGCGTAGCGACGGTAACGTCGGGTCGATCAGCCCGCTGGACGATATAGAGGAAATATTCATATCATTGGGGCTGATTAGGAAACACCAGAGTAGCGTCACAATTTCGAGTCCCCAGAGCTTTTGGGAAAGCGTCAACTCAACAAAACCAGGGCGAGCGGGTCACGCACCGAGAGCAATCTTAAAAACGACGAGTTTGCACTCTGCACTCCTTGTTTACCGGCGCCGTGGCTTGCTAGACATCGCGCTCGGCTAGCAGTAGCAGGACTCCGTCGCGCGGCATCAGCACAGCTAACGACTCAAGTTTGAAGTGAGTCGATTTCGAGGCAAAGAGGACAACCACGCACCTATTCTCTTCGTCTCGCCATCCCGGCCCGCTGCAATTGAGCAACACCCTCGCTTGGGAGAAACCCGGACGTTTGCTATTGCCTAGGCCAGACAGCTCTCCCGCCCACGCCGTTGTCCGCCTCCGTCCTCTCTGACAGACACACAGGGTTATGTTGACCGTACGCCGTCTTGGTACAGCATTGTCGCGGGCACGCACAAGCAAGCGGGATGAGAGGGCAGGGTGGGCGAAAAGAGGGAAGTCGGCCCGTGATTGACGTGTGGCGCACGGACCAGTGGCGATCGCACGTGCGAGCTGCCACGTCAAACACAGCTTCTTCTCAGCCACTGTCCCGCACGACGTCCCGCATGCGCTGCGCGGTCCTGCTATGTAGCGCGTTCAACGACCTGCTGGTGCGCTCTCACCGACATTTGTCTCCTGTTGTTCTGACTAATCTGGTCTTTAGCCTGAACACGTCCCTTGTAGTCCGCGACAAACCACACACTCTTGGCCCCGCTCTTCTGGGCCGAATCCACCCCAGACACGGGGATGATGGAGATAGGGTGAGTAACTGACGTCTCTTTTTGTTCAACCATGCTGGAAACTTCTGACTCGTACCGTCCCGCTGCTGCCGCCTCTGCGAGATGAAGATTGAGATGCCAGTGATTGAATTGGAGCTCTTTTTCGGACGGGCCCGGGAGCGCCGGCAGAACAGGTGCGGCCGCGTGGAAGATATACAGAATGGAGGACCGCGGCTGAAGAAGAACAGCCACCGCACCGAACCGGTCTGTCGCGGCGGTCGGTAGTTGTGATCATATCATGAGGCCTCATATAATCTGCAGTCTGTGAGCCATCCATCCCTGCCGCACACGCCCCAGATGAGCCCATTTCTCGGAAGCAGCACTCAACATAAGTTGTAATTATTTGCAACTGAATAATCAAGCCATGTGTATAATTTGTATTGGCATATCCTCATCCCTCATAATGATTCCTGTTCCTTGGCTGCC